ATTTGTACCTAGGAGCTCCCAGATTTAGGTACAAATCGTTCTCCACAGCTGTCAAATTTTGAATTGATAACGCCGGACGATTATTTCATTTTTTTCAGATTACAAAATCAACTCATCCATTTGATTTTGCTATCAAACAACAAAATATGATGTAATTAAAAGAATTCTAGAAAAACCAGTTAGAGTTTACTAATCGCTCTCTCAGAATTTGAGATGAAATTTTCGATCATAGTTGATGTTTGTGTGTTTACACGATTCAGTATGTGCAAAATTCAAGAAAAAAATGAAACATTAAAACAAAATAAAAAGAAAAGAAAAGTTAAAATCATAGCAGAAGTAAATTTTATTTGAAAAATAAATATTAGATTGATAGAAAAAATTTAATAATATCAAATAAAAATAAATAAAATTTGATAATATTTAAATTTTGTATTCAATTCATACAAAACATATATATTTTGGGAAAAACATACGATTTGATAGATTCTGCATTTCAAAAAACTGAAATTGAATTCGCGTTCTTCAATAAAAGCCTTAAAAGCTAAATAACTTCAGGGCTCGGAATCTGCTCTCTGGATGGTGCATGGCAAACATTCTCATCCTTGTTTCTATTTATGGATTTGTAATTTGTTGATGGAAAAATTGAAAGGTGTTTGCGGACGAGAAAGCAAGCTGCTATTTGCTCAGGTCTTCTGATTGAATTAACACCCACTATAAATGGCCAAGACTCATCTGTTTCAGATTCGGTATCATCAACTTGGAACCAGATTAGAGTCATTAAAGTGGCAAACCCGTAGGATTTTAGCATTTGTGACTATTTGAGAAAAGCCGTTTCGCGTTTATCTGAATTTTTTATTTGAATTTAATTTGAAACTGCATTCACACATGAACTAAATTCTTCATCAACGAAATTACAAGTATGTCGTTTTCCGTATGTTTTACCATAATGCGGTTTTATGAAAAAAAAAAATAGATTTATGGCATCATAAAATACTGTTAATGGAAATATAATCATTTTTGTTTGGTAAACTTATTAAATTCTGGAAAAAAAAGTATTTTGAAAATTATTGTCTATAATGATAAGTTTATATATTAACCAATCTTCAATCTTGAATGTTTCGTTGAATTGATTTGTGAGGAAAATTTCGGTTAAATTTGCAAAATTGAATTGACATTTAAAATCAAAATTAATTATATCATAGCCACGCGCTAATTTCTCTTATGCTCGTGACAATTTCGAGTTAAATTATTAACTTCAAAAATCTTTGAATAAATTTTTTGCTTGATTCTTGACTGACGACCCTGGGATGGTGTTTTATTATTAAAAAATATGTCGATTTTTTCTTATTTTTTGAAGGGGAAAAATGTATCCGTTTGTTGTTAACCTCATTAAACGTCAGTATCGAAATCAAATTACTGCAAATGTATATTACTATTTCTTCGAATATCCGTTGCTACAGGAACCAGTTGCTCTTAGTAAAAGCTGGAAAATAAAACATATAGCAATTATTATAAATAAAGACGTTAATACCCCAATTGCAAAAATTGAATGAGAATTTTCGTTAATGTGCGCTAATAATTTTGCGTTCTTGTATGGTATATGGTTTTTACAAAATTTGCCCAAAATTCCAGTTAATTCCATAAATTTTTATATAAACTTCATGTCTCGGTGTAAAGCTATATGTTAAATTTAGCAGGTTAAAAAGGATAGTTTTTATTATAATGAAGTGGATAGAGAATCATTAACTCACAAAGAAGTGTTATAGATAAGATTGGAATTAATGAAACATTTAAATTATTTGTTTACATTTGATTCCACTCAATGTTCTGCTGTTCCAAAAAATTAATTTGAGGAAATGCATCAATCTCTAATGCAAAATATTCGCATTCTCTATCCACTAATCTGTTTAAGTTACAACATTACGTATTAACACACTGTTATTCCCCAAAAAAGTTATTTTCAAATATTAAAATTGGCAAATTTAATGTAAAAATGGTTCAATTGAATAAAAAAATAAATAAAAACTACTTATCATAAAGATATTGTGTTTGTTTCTGTACAGTTGCAAAAGAGAACTATAAAATATTAATTCATCAGTGTAAACTTTCAATGAATTGATGAAATCTTCATAATTAAGCCGAAAACAATATTAAAAGCTAGAATATAGAGGTATAAATGTGATTTTATATAATAATCTGATAAAGGGAACATAGTTATAGATTATTTAAAAAACCGCTAAATAGTAAAAATATTTATATCTGATATTAATTTCTTCGTCTTTACCCTGGCAAAATACATTAGAACGCGCCAGTTATTGCATAATTTGTTTTGTATACTGGCTTATTATGATGAAAGAAACAATTTGAAGATTCCTTCTATTGAAGTGTAGGTTTAATGGTTTGTGATGACAGAAACTTTTGGAGATTCTGTAAGCAACACATTACATATGAAATATTAATAATTGGATTGAGATTATTCTAGTCATGATAATCGCATTGTCATGAAGTCCAAAATTGAACAATTGTGACATATTAGATACTTGAAGAATTGGCAAAAACCTTCAAAACTTATTAATCATCATTTGTTTGTAATGTTTCTTATTGGGGTAACCAATTAGTAAACACTCCATAGTTGATTCATGACTTTTCTGACTGATATTGAAACATAAGTCAACCAGTACAATCTTCGAAAGCATTTATGATCGACCAAATGTATTGTTTTGGGATTAAATGATGTTCTCATTTAAATTGCATGACATGAAAGCCAACTCTCTCATACTCATTATTGTATAGAGCATAAATCAATCTTTTTGCATATTCTGGATGCAAAAAGAATACTCTCTTATAATATTAAGTGTTCTTCGGAATTAACTAATTCATCTGAGAATGGCCATCTGTGAATGACCAATTTCCAACGCTTAACTAAAGAAAGTTAGGAAGAGTAATATTACTTGTTTAACTCCTCGCGAATGAATGCTGACAATGATATTCGGTTCCGTTTGGAATTAATGTTACCAGTTTAAGGAACGCAAAACAATACTGTCCAATCAATGCACTATTCAAGTTTCTGCGAAAATAAGAGACTTGAATAGGAGCGATTATAGAATGAGTAGCTTCCAATAACTTGAACAGAATGATGGGATGCTTGTATTTTTGTGATGCTTACTATTGTAAAAGGCGTAATCAGTATTGTTGTTTTTATTCCTTCCTTTCAAAGCAAACAGGCTCTTAGATGAACAATTCTGAAATGCATTGCTCCCCAATTGTTTGAAGCTGAAGGGATGAAGATCCATGAAGAAAAATTATGCTATTGCAGAATGCATGACTCATCAAGATTTGTTAAACCCTCGGGGAATTGTTGATGTTTTGGAATTGATGTATTCTGAAACTGCAATATGAATTAATATTTCTAATGCAATGAGGAAATGTTATTTTGAAATGTTACTAGAATGTAATGATATGAATATAAATGTTGTTAAAAGTTTTCTTTAAGATTAAATAAGAGAGGGCATGTATTATAAAATGCATTAATTCATTAATATATACAAGACCTGCTGGGCATTCTGCATTTTTCAGAAGAAGAATTATAAATGCATAGGCTTTCGATGTACATCAATCCCACTTGGAAGATTTATTGTTTCGAGCACATGAATTTTGGAAAATTGCAATGAAATTGTTTGTACCTTTGATTGGTATTGTAATTGTTTTGAATGTTCGTATATTGGAAACAGTATTGGTCCAAATTGATTCAAGTGTTTCGGGAGTTCGATGCTTTCTATACAGATTGCGTTTATAAAATGTATAGCTATCGATACTTGTGATAGAATTTGAAAGCTGAATTTGACGCAAACATGCTATTTGCCGAAGGTATTATGTATAAATATTGTATTACTAAATAGGAATTGTTAATCGCAAGGAATATTGCTACAATCAAAGCAATTATGATCCAATATAGTTAACAGAATCTGATATATTACTAAGAGGGCAACGATGCATTATAAAAGCAATAAGAGTTGATGATTGTATAATGTGATGGAAGATTTAATATATTTTTAATGCATGTATCACGAAATGCACTTGACAGCATAGAAGTTGAAAAGTACCTTCTGGAACTTCTAATTTCATCAAATGAACATCCAAGCAAATGCATATTGGGCCAATGGATCTTACACTATCTGGAATAATAAAACCATCAAAGCTAGTGTATGCCGTATTCATAGTCATATATACGTGTAACCTGTTCACTGGGGTAGTGTGATATGAGGCATGGAGTCATGAAACGCACAATTTCCAACACTCATGCCTTGATGTCATTTTAAATATGATTATCAATGACGGAGTTAAAGGAAGGCGATAATCCCCTACGTATGCATATAATTAATCTATCTGATTCAGAATTAATTATATTAGAATCTTATGCATTTGGTTATTGTCCTATTAATCGATTATTCTCCCGAAATACTTATCATCAATAAGTGACTATGCTTTTTATAAAACAAAGCTTGGAAATCAATAAAATCTGAGTTGCAAGTTACATCAATTGGGGAGTATGTATGGGGTTACACACCGATGAAACGCTATGAAATTCCATATGGCGAAACTTCAATCTGATGAGAATGAACTTTTCTTCAATGACATTAGGATATTTTTGCATTATTCCGCCAACAATTAAATTATTAATGTGTATCATATGCTTGCGCCGAGAGTGGAACGCCAAATGTCTTAAACTCAATTTGAACTCATTTGTAATTCATTGAATTATTTTCAACGTAAATTCAAAACCTTAAGACTCATACATTTTTTACTTCATATGTTAAAATAAATGATACAAAATCGTTCAATATTGTATGAATTCTTACGTTTACAAAAAAAGTCACACAACCCGTCATATATACTACTGGAAATTTTATATTTTTGCAGAATATGGAATTTTGGAAAAATATATATGCACCTCATTATATTTTAACTTTATAAATTTATTTACTTTGTTTGATTATAAAATGAATTTTGAAGCATCTTTGATTCAATGTATCAAAACTAATGATCCCAAAGGAATTGAAGCTTTAGGCCTAACATCAGCTAATGTCGATGATATTATAGTACATAAGTTTGAAGTACCAAATAAAGAATTATTAAATGGAGTTTTAATTCCAAGATATCCAACGCCATTAGTATATGCCATATTATGCAGGAAATTAGATGTTGTTATAAAATTAATCGAATTAAAAGCTAAAATCGACTTAGAAGTTAATGGTTGGAAACCAATTCACTACGCTGTTGCTACAAATCAACCCTCAATTGTACGATATATTATAGAATACGATACCGAGCAACTCGAAGCAACTACAAACCTTGGAACAACACTTCTTCATCTTGCTGTTTCTACAAATTCATTAGAATTAGTTGATTACTTGCTCATTAGTGGAGCTAATCCAAATAGTCAAAATTTAGTTGGAAATTCTACATTTCATTTTGCTGCACTACTTCATCAACCAAATATCATCCGTACTTTACTTGCTTTTTCTGCCGATCCAGAAATCAAAAATAATGCTGGTGTTACACCAATAGATATTGCAAATTCAAAGCAAAATTCATTGTTTTTAGAAATAATTAAAGAAACTCCACTAGATTTAGAAGTAATTATGAAAGAATATCATCAAATCTTAGCTAATAAGGAAGAAGAGGCTAAAATTGAACCGGCTGCGGATCCAGGAGCAGTTGAAGAAAGAATCAAATCATTATCCAAGAGGATTGCAGATATCGAGCGTGCTGTAAACAAGGAATGATATTTTTCATTTATTGTTGTTATGAAACAGTTTATCTCTGTATTGTTTTAAAATAAAAATTTTTGTCATCATATCATTTAATGAAAACCAAATATTTATGATCTGACCTATTAGAATATTAATATGCTCTGTATTATGCCATCATGATTATTATATTTGCAAAAAATTATTAAAACATAAGAAAGCTAATTATCAATTGTATAGTGAAAAGTGCTGCAATGAGCACATACAACCATATTTTAAAACAAATGTATCCTGATTTCAGCTAAGAATCTAAGAACATCAGGATAATTCAAAATGCAACAGGCTTATATGCTGGGTAAATTCACCAAGCTATACATGAGTATATTAATGTTGACATTCATGTTTAGACAGTAATTATTTTGCAACAATTTATGCCATAAAGAATAAGAAGGCGGGAAAGGAAAATTAGAATATACACCCTATCGAATGCATGAATCATAGTAATTTAATATGTATTGATAAATTTGATCAATTCCATAACAACGAAATAGCCAAATCCAAATGAAACAATTAGCATGTGGAGTTATTCTTAAGAATGTATATCTTACTCCAAAGCTCATCAATCGGCGTTTGAATTTGAATAGTTGTAAAGTAAAATCATACACAATGAGCTCTGAACGCGATATTGCCATTTATACAGCTCAAATCCTTGATCAAACCAATCTTCCTGAGGAAATGATTACTCTCATGAAGCGAGTAATCGAATTAAATCCAGATCTTAACGATGATGAAAGAAATCTCTTATCAGTTGCATACAAGAACTCCATTAACCAAACAAGAAAAGGACTTCGTGAGATTAAGGCGTACATACAGGAGCAACAAAATGATGGGCAATATCCAAATCGTCTTAACCAACTTTTAGAATTCAAGCAACAAATGTTTAAAGAGCTCGAAGCTATATGCAATGATTTAGTACAGCTTGTTGACGATTCTCTTATCCCTGCTGCTACTACTTCTGAAGCTCGCGTTTTTTATGAAGGTCTCAAGGCAAATTATTATCGTTATGTTTGTGAATTCATTGACGATGATGATGAAAAGAATACTGTCGCTGAAAAAGCTAACCAATGCTACAATTCTGCAATCGAAATTGCAAAGAATGATATTCCACCTTACAAGCCATCCTATCTTGGCTTGCTCTTAAATTACTCCGTCTTCCTCTATGAAATTCTCGATAAGAAAGAGGAAGCAATCGAATTATCACAGCGCACTTACAATGAAAGCTCTCCACTCGTAGAAGAGAATAGCGAATCATCATTTAACAATGCTACAATGATTCTTAACCTTATATCTGAAAACCTTGCAATTTGGAATAATCCTGGTAATTAGTTCATTTTTTTAGTTGATTTTTTATGAGTAAAATTTATTGGTATTATTTATTTAATCATATATTCCGTTTTTGATTCACTATATTCATGAATTGGTAATCATGGTAAGAGTAACTTAAAAACTCTGTTTCACGAGATTATCTCCCTATTAATATGAAAAAGTGTATCATAAATACAATAAAATTCACATTTTTATAAATATTCATTAAAAGATTAAGTGAGGAACAAGAATATTTTTCCACACTATAAAGCTATCACTTTTTATAAATGAACTGCCTATCAACTCTAGCTCTAATCAATAGATATTAATGGAGATCCAACCAAATAAATCGAAATTTCTTTCAACTAAGGTGAAACACAGTTGATAATTAAACCTTCATGATTCACTTATCAATTCTAGATTCTAAATTTAGTTTAAATTATTAATAAATATCTTAATAATTTGATTTTTTGATTGGTTTACACGCGAATAATATGTTTTAAAAAAATTATGTTAATAATTATTATAACAGATGAAAACACTTTTTTATTAATTTTATTATATTAAACATAAGTTTCCAATCTTTTGTATTATTTCGTTTATCTTGACTTCTTCATTTTCTCCGTAAAGAGATTTCACGTGCGGAATAGTTTTTTGGATCATATCAATCAATTTTTCTTTCGTAGAAATCAGAGCAAACTTATTCATCATATCATCAAAATCAATTTTTCCGAAGACATTCAAAACCAAATCTATGCAATCTTCACCTTGTGACAGCATATTTATAAGTTCAGGAAGAACTTGTAGTAGTATTGGTTGTGATAATTCTTTTTCTTTCATTTGTTTCGACAATTTTCCACTTGAAAACAAGAATTTCATGAAATTATTATGACAAGCGGAAACAATTCCTTTTTCGAAATCTTTTTCAAGCAAAGAAACGCATGATGTCGGTGTCAATCCATTAGAATTAACAACAGAAACAAGTTTACCGTATGGTTCAATTACTTCTTCTGTTAATTTATTGATAGCCATGTTAGAATCATTAATTGTTGTGTTGTAATCATTTATCAAATTCTGAATTTGAGATTTATATTCTTTGACTTTGCTGTCAACGTGATCAAAGAACTTCTCAGCGCATTTTGCAAGTTCAGCAACTGCTTTGCTATCAATAGCATTCGCCTGTTTCTCTATTTGCATGATAACAGGTTTCTCATCAACACTTATCCATTCAAGAACATTATCGTTGTAAAAAGCGAAACCGACAAATTCAGAGTCAATTTTTGATGTAAATGATCCATGACTTAACAAAGTATCAGACAAGAAAGAAACACCACCAATAGTAGACCATATACCTTTAACACTCATGAGTGATGTTGGTTCTTCTGATGAAAGGATCTTGTATTGAAGAGGGAAGTTGTTTTCAATGGGAACACAATATAATGAACTGTCATCTAAATATATCTTTGATGATGATTTGAATTTGAATTTCTGGATGGGGAAGAATGATGATCCAGTGCGATCACTAACTTCTACTTTCTTCTCAGTTGTCATACATGCAATGTATTTAGAAGATGCATCAAATGAACGAACTTGTTCGCTTATTTTTGTTTTATCAAGTTTGTTCTGTTCTTTTATAACAACAGCAAATAATTCTCTGTTTGTTGACAATGCAAAGAATCTGTTCGGAGCATTTGGATCTGATTTCAAATTTTTGTAAATGAATTCATCTTCAATTTTTGTGACATTGAACTCGGCGTTGATTGTATACAATGATTTCGTGGTGGATACAATAACTGCATGGCCAACAACTGCTCCAGAAAGAACTCTTTCGTGAAGATCAATAATTTGCCACTTTTCGGAATTATTCAACAAAACAAAGACATTTACTTTCTTCGTGTATGTCTTTGTAATGAATCCAATAACTCCGTTGTAATCACAGACAACTTCGATTTCGTCGTAATCTTCGCTTTCTGATGATGAATTACTGTAATCAGAGGCAATTGATGGAGAAAGGAAACCAGGAGGTTGGTTGTCGCTGTCGGAAGAGTCATCAAACATGTCGCCAAGGTTTGGATCGTAGTATGGCTCTGAAAAAGAGTTGTCGTATTGGTCTGATTGAGAAATGTCATCTTCTTCGTTGTCGATATCTGCTGGAATTTGTTCTTTTGGCTGGATTTCTGAAATATTATTTTCATCTGTTGGGTTTTGTGGGGAAACTGATGGAGAAACAATGTTTGATGCATTAATTGGTTGGTCAGTTGATGAATTAACATTGTTTTCTTGAGATTTCGGATCAGTTGATCCAAATCCTGGAGGAAGATCGTTGTCTTCTTGGGCATTAGCTTCAGTACTTGCATTATTTGTATTGGTAGTCTCTGTTTGGCCAAATCCTGGTGGAAGATCTTCATTATTTGTTGTATTTTCGGTTTTGGCTTCTTCTTGCTGACCAAAACCAGGTGACATTTCATCAGAAGCAGGTTTCTGAATGTTTGCTGGCGAAAGAGTGAATCCTGGCGGTCCATCTAAAATATTATTATTTTGGACAGGTTCTGATGGCTTGTTCTCTTGTTGTGTATTGATATTATCATTGGGAACGTTTTCTGTCGATCCAAATCCAGGTGGAAGGTCTTCATTTTCTTCAATTTTTTGAGATGTGTTTTCTTTGGCATTTGGTTGGCCAAAACCTGGTGGTAAATTGTCATCAGCTGGTTTCTGAATACTTCTTGGGTCAAGAACGAATCCTGGTGGAGAATTTTGAACAATATTTTGGACTTTTTCTGTTTGGCCAAATCCTGGCGGACATTCTTCACTGGTTTCGGTTTTATTGTTATTAGTTTCAGTCTTTTCTGGTTTTTGCTGGAAATCTTTGGGATCAAGCTTCAATTTCGGTTCAGAATGCTCGGAAACAATGTTTTCCTTGTTAAGTGGCTGGAAATGAGGCTCTTCGATTGGCTTTTCTTCAACAATTCCGCCAAATCCTGGTGGCAAGTCTTGGAAATTGTTTATCTGCGAGGATTTGCCATCTTTATTATCTTTGCCTTTGTTCTTTTGCTTCTTTGGAACATCTTCTTTATTATTCTTAGAATTATTACTATTTACAGGGACAGCAGGTGCCGCATTAGTAGTATCTGCATGAGATGTAACAATATTCATCGGTTTCAGTTGAGAATTTTGTAATTTCGCAGGGTCAATTTTGAATGGTCCGGAAATTGGAGGAGATGACTGCGGGCGTGATATCTGTACACGATTTGCATTCTGTTGCTCTTCTTCGTTTAGCGTTGGAATGGAATTTCCTCGAGATAATTTTGTTAAATCTTCAGCGTTCTTTTTAATTACCAAATCTTTACCGGCATAGATAGGAGGAGCTCTTGCTCCAATGGAAACTCCTTGAGGAAGCATCGCAGGAAGTAATTTCTTTTGACCTTCTTGATTTTGAAGATTTGTAAGCTTTTCTTTAGGCTGATTCGATGGGGATTGACGCGTGTTCTTTGCTGGATCTGGTGTATCTTTAGAAACTATATAATGAAAATCTAATTTTGTTGTTTTTGGAGGTGAAATATTTTTTGGTGGTTGTTCCACATTTGCTGCGTTAATTGTGGCTTTGTTATTATTGTTATTGTTGTTATTATGCTTGTCTTTCTTTTGTTTGTTGTTTTTAGGTTTATCTTTCTTTTCTATCTTAAGCGGCTCGAAAGCAGCTGGAGCAACTTTATATACAGCTGGTTTGGCCTTGTTTTCGTTGGGTTTCTTTTCGTCTTGAATTGCAATTAGAGGTTGTTCAGTGAATCCTTTAGAAAAATGAGGAAATACGATAGAACTATCTGCAGCTAGCGAGCGCAGATCTTCTGAAGTATATTGTAATGATTCCTTTGGGTTGTAAAATTCATTCATTGCTGTTTTAATTTTTTTTCAAAAATTTTGTCACTTTTTATTCTTCCTCCAGCCGATTTATTTAATTTTACCCTATAAACTCATCAATTATTTATATTATGCGACAACATAACAAAATAAAAACTATGGATTTGAAAATCTCTAGATGTACAATAATTTTGCATACCCCACCCCCAAAAAAATCTTTTTACATAACAGCAAGGCACATAAGTCCCAGAATGCTAAAAGGCGCGGAGTCCCGATGCCAAATTCACATTTATTATATAATCATAAATTTTAAAATTTTTACTAAAAATCGAATAGTTATAAATTACTGCTGCATTATGTCAATTTTTTACCATCTAAATCCATAAAACTCAAATGAGATCACAAAATTGGAGATCTCAGCTGTTATTTCTCCAAATAAGTTCCTTAATATTCTAAATAGATTTAGTCATCCCCAGGAACCCAAAAGCCACATTCCCAATCCGAAATAAAACTTTTTATCTTTGTATTTGCACCTTGATAGCATTTCAAAGCATCTTCTAGTTCGTAATACTGGTTTAGTGTTGAATAATCAAAAACAAGGTATTCGAATATTCTTGAATCATTTATGGCATACTGAAGAGGAAACTTCGAATTGTTATCTCTTTTTCTTATATTTTGGGTATTTTTTATGACTTCTAATGCCATTTCCACATTACCACTTATTACTGCATAATGTAGAGGTATCTTCCCTTCATTATCACTTATTTCAAAATCTGCGCTTTCATCAAAAAACTTTACAAAATTCATGTTACCATTAATTGCTGCATAATGAAGAGCAGTTTTCCCTTCATTGTCTTGCATGTTGAAGAGAGATGAAGACGGAAAATCAAAATCATCATAATAATCAAGATCTATATCACGAAAATATATTGCAGCATAATGTAAAATTGTTTTTCCGGAATCATCTTTGAAATCATAATATTCTTCGTTAGTGTAGTTATAGCGATTAGTTAAAATTGTTTTAGCACAGTAAAGAACTCCTTGGTATTTTTTATCGATTTCAGGCAATGAAGAAAGAATGAATTCACAAACAAAAGGGTATTCAATAGTTTTAGCTATGAATCCTTTGATATCATTTGTTTGATCATAGTGAATTAAAAATGCTTGGATATTATCGTATTTTATGCAATAGTCTACATCGATTGGAATTTCATGTTCGTTCATGAGAAATGTAACGAAATCTATGTTGTGAGACATGATTGCATATTGCATGCATTTCTTATCTGGCTTGTGGTATTTCAAACATTCACTCATAATGTCAGGATTTCCTCCTAAAAATGAAAGTTGAAGACATAATTCTGTGATTTCTGCAGAGAATTTTGTTCTCAAAAACTTGAAACAATTAACTGAGCCATAATAACAACATGTTTCAAGTAGAGATAATTGTTTTTCCACACATGGAAAGTCATTAAATTCAATGCTATCAGTATGAGAAAATTTGTCTTCTTCTGTGAGAGGAGCAAGTAATTTCACATCATCATAAATAAGTGATTTTAATAAGTGACTGATTTTTGTTTGATTTGGTTCAGATAATCTAATCCAAAAATATTTATCTAAAATGTATTCACCAATTGATGAAATCCCTTTCCGATGATATTGAGGATATTTTTGAACAAATCTACTCATCAAAGTCAAGTATGACTTGACATATCGATTATTCCCTTTGGCCGCATTTGAAATTATATCAAGAAAATCAAATCCATAATAACCTTCAATGTACTTCGAAATTTGATTATCTAATTCTTTGAAAAAAGCCTCGATATCGCTATCACTTGATGTATGTAACCTAAATAATCTGCACAAAATATCATTGTATTCTTTCGCAGAATTCATAAGTACGTCATAAGGGAATTCACTCATGAAAATGATAAAAATTTTCAAAAAAAGGTAGTCGTTGTTAAAAATCTTAAAAATCCTGGATTATTTAATCTGCTATCTAATAAAAGGCATAATGTAACATTAGTATATTAGTATATTCCATTAGAATTTGAAGACATAATATCAATAATCAAGCATTTAGTCATCATTTTTATCGATATTGATAATACTTAAGAAATTTGGTGGTAAAATAATATTTTTATTAGATTTGGAAGCCATAGTCTAATATAATAGATATGAATTCCAAAATAAATCAAAGACTTATAAAATAAAGTTGAAACACATATCAGAAATGCAGTCAGAGAAGTTGATTAAATGAAACATTTTTATAAATAAATAAAAAACAAAAAAATTTAAAAAATTAAACATTAGAAATAGGCATTGGAGTCAATTGATCCAAATTTTCTTCATCATGATTCGTTTCTTCCTCTTCTACATCATCATTTACGAATGTAGCGTTTGTTTTCCTGAAACCTCCTCCAACAAGGGAAATATCTTTAGTTTCTGTTTGATTTTCCTGTTCGTTGTCAATCATTTCGTATCCTGTATCATTGTCAACGATTGTGAAGCCAATTGTCAAGAAAATCTGGACAATTAAAAAGATATTTTCAATTACAAAGCCAACCCAGTAGAAATTGCGTGTTTTCCACATTGTTGCTTCCATTCTCTTCACGCAAAACAATATACATGTTGAAAAATACAAAACTAAATTTAATGTTGTAAATAACACGAAATTATCCTTATGAGCATCAGGATTTCCATCATCTGGTGTATACTCTAAATATATAATGAGTGAAACACTGTAAATTACAATGCTTGCAAAGAAATTTAAATATGGAAAATTATTTCCGTATCCTAGTGTCCAATTTCCAGTTTCAACAGTTGATATCTTATTTACACTGTATGTGCTGATGATTGAAAGGAATAATATCAACAAACTAATGATAAATGAAGAATAATTTGGAAATTCGTACGGTCTTCGTAAATATCGTGTCATAGAGTAAAATAACAAACCTTGTAATAGAGATCTAATGATAGAAGCTATGAAAATAAGGAAATTCAATTGAATTGAATTGAAATTCCATAATAAATAATATATGATGTGTAATAATGAAATTGCACCTAATAGAATTAATGAAGATAACGGAGAAAAGAAAGAAAATGAAAATAATGGACTTTTCATTCTAGAATAGTAATATATCGAAAGAGAAGAAGCAGTAGTAAACAAAAATAGTATGATATGAATGTACATCATATGTTTGAGACGTTTGTCTAATGATTTCGAAGATTTGAAGTCAATTGAACCCGAAATTGTAAAATTGCCATCTCCGCAATTTGCAACTAATGCTGTATAAATATTTGACTCGTTAACTTTATATGTACTATTTATGTTCTCTATAGTAAGACTTGTTGCATTAATTTGTTTCATATTTCTTTTTGAAGAAGATCTCGTTCTTCCATTGCAGGTTCCTTTAACTATATAGCGTGAATATTTTTCCTGTGGGCCTTCAATTATTAGAAATCCTCTTTTGCATGATTTCGAATCACAACAAAAAGGTTGATAGTTATTATTGGCACCAAATATCTCTTTTCGATCTGTTTCTTTATATATTATTACTTCAGCGTAGTCTGTTGCTTTACAGCTGTTGACTATAATTTGATTTTTGATTTCGCCATTGTCTATATATATAAATCTCTCATCTCTCCATGTTGCCGGAAATAGATCATCATTAAATCCGTGTAAATGAGCTTTTGAAACTCCAATCATCTGGATGATGATTTTCAAAAGATTTAACATCAAAAAAATTTGGAAGAAATGATACTATAACTAATTTTTCATTAAATTATGATGTGTCATATCTTTTTTTCATATTATAATGTGCTGATAATCGCATGGCTTGTTATGAAGACAACGGTCTGTAGAAGAGCCGGTTCTCTTGACGTAAAGTCTCTGAAATATTAAAAAGTTCAACATTTTTTTATTGTCAAATTTCTTCTTTCATTTTTGTTGAAGTTCTGTGAATTCCTCATAGTGTTTTAGAAGCCAAAACTGGATAATAGAGACACCAGTGAGGTTAGTATCTCTACCCTTGATTCTTGAATGTTTGACTATATGGATATAAAAAGTATATGAAACATTCAGTTCTTATTTTATATGTTTTGGAAAGGAAACATATCTGATGATACAAAAAGAATTACTTGCAGAATATTAATATTAAAAGATTATTCTTATGGATCATGTTAGTTTTTAAATTAAATTTATTTTTTGTATTACTGATCTATACCTGATGGTAATTGCATACCAAAAAAAAAAAAAAAAAAAAAAAAAAAAAAAAAAAGGTAGTGGGGCTTCCAGGCACTTCGTGCCCTCTAGCCCCGAAGATGTTTAGTATAAAATGAGGTTTTTATATACGGGTCTTCCAGGAGCTTGTCAAGACTTCTTCGTAAAATCAGACAAAAATAATGTTTAGGGTAGAAGGTTAGATATAACCTCTTTTCTAACCTCTTTTCTACCCTCTTGAATTTTCAAGACTTCTTCGTACATGTTTTGTCACTTTTCTGTCACTTTTCAGGAAAAAACATTTTTATTATATATATAAAATGAATTTTACAAAACCACCGTTACCCTTCTTTGGAAATAAGAGTAGATGTAAAGATATTCTATTGAGAGAACTTAAGAAACTACCGAATGGTCTAACATTTGTAGATTTGTTCGGTGGAAGTTTCTATATATCTCATTTGTGCCATACTGTATTTCCTGACTCAAAGATTATATGCAATGACTTCGACAACTATATGAACCGTCTCAAACATATTCCAGACACTAACAAAATATTGAAAGAGTTAAAAGAAAAGATACCTATAGGTAAGATGGAACGTATACCATTAGATAAGAAAAATATTGTGAGAGAGGTTTTGAAAAAAGCAGAATATATAGACTGGGATAGTATATCTGCTAGACTATTATATAGTGGTGCTATAAGAGCTCATGACATTGAAACACTTATGTCAAAAGTTTTATATCTCAACTATACAAATGTTTTCAAAGAGGACATAGAAAAATATATTGAGGGTATAGAGTTTGTGAGATGTCATTGGACAGAGTTGTATGAAAAATATAAAGACAAGGAAAATGTTTTCTTTATAGTGGACCCACCGTTCTATAACACATGGGATTTTCAATACCAAGTAGACTGGACTTTGAGAGACTCTTTAGAAACTTTAGACGTTATACATAACCATCCATGCTTTTACTTTACATCCGATAAAAGTGGTTTGGAAAGTGTCATGAGATGGTTAGAGGACATACATGACTATGAGTTTAGATACGATAAGATAGAATATGAGAGAGGTCCTATAAACTGGAGAAAGTGTCATAACAAAGAAATTTTACTAGTAAGTAAATGTGGTTTGAAATAGGACTACTTGTTTTAGGTTTTTTCCATTGTGTCATTTACTTATTTGACGTGGCAGAAAGATATAGAGAATATGAAGATGAACCAATGCCTGCAAATGTTCAGCATATGTACTCGTAAGAGATATTTTTATCTAATATTAAATGGACGCACAGAACTTAGCGAATGCACAGCAACCTGGACAACCAAACCCAGAGAATATTCCAAATGAAGTTAGAATACAAACTGCAATGGCAAACTATGGTCAAGTGCCAACAGATGTACAAATGCAAACTGCCATGTCAAATGACGCTGCGTTAGGTTTGCCACCATGGTATGCAAATATGAGATGGAAAGAGTTTTATACAAACCCTGAAGTGGGATATAAACAACTCTATGCAGATGACGCGAACACAGGAGTTGACCCAGAGTATGTTTTCTACCAGAGGAGAAATAGAATGTATGAGCTCCAGTTAAAGAATGCTATGGAACTCAGAAGGAAACGTAAGAGACTAGGTGGACATTAGATTTTTACATATAGTAAAATGGGTTTCTTTGGAAGAATAGGAAACTTCTTTCGAAATGTTGGAAGAGGTATATGGAATGGAATAAAAACCGTAGGAAGAGGAATTTGGAACGGAGTCAAAAATATTGGTAAAAGAGTAGGTCAGTTCGTTGGTATTATACCTAAAGACCCTGAACCAGAAGAACAAGCTCCTGTTATACAACAGCCTGAACCTGCACCACAGTCTAGTTGGCAACCAAATCCAACACCTCAACCGTATTAAAAATTATATTTTTACCGTTCGATAGTAGTTGTATATGAAACTAAGTTCTAAGTAAAACGCGTGGTATAATGGAATTATTCTCTTTCTTCCATCTGTTGTAAACCATACTTGAAAGTCTGAAATACTTCCACTTGGTGGTTCGTATAGCTTTGTAGGTTTTTCGTAAAAGTCATTCATCAGACATAAGAAAGAGTTTTGCGCACCAGAAAATGAAGCATGAACTATAATAGCATCTGAGTCGAAAACATTTTCATATGTTCCATTAGGGTTTTCGACTTCATAAAAGTTCGGGTGTACTGGATATTCTGCAGGCTGATTTAACATCCTCAAAAACCTATACCATGCCAAGTTGTTATATTTTGTAGAAATATAAACGTTTTCTCCAAGGTCTTCTATTCTATCGATTTTAACAGTTGCATTTTTCCTGTCATATAAAATATCGAGATGGTACTCTCCTTCGTCAATGTTAAACTGGTTTGCATATTCGATATAGATATCGTTTATTTTTTCTTGAAAAGCTTGAAGAGTTGTTTCTAAGTTTACAAGCAAATTCACTTGTAAAAGTTTTCCCTGTTCAAATTTCTCATACGTACGTTTTTCTTTGTTATAGTATCGAACTTCAAAAGCGACCGTAAATGGGAAACCATGTATGGCTTCTGAAATGAATTTCATTCTACGAAAGCCAATAGCTTTTGTGACGGATGGGTCTCTTAACCATCTTAACGGGTAGTCAAAACGATAGCCTTCATGCTTTACGGTCTCTGTCTCAAACTTTTGACCGACGTTAGTAAAAAGTTCATCTAATGGTTTAGTTGTAGCAACTCTTGAATTTTCTTTTTCTATTGAAAGCATATTTTATCTAGAATAAAAATGTCGAAAGAAACAGCGTCTATGAGAGAAATAAAACACAACCGACAACTCATTTTGCAAGCTCTAAATAAGAACACAACAAACTTTTCAAACTATTCTAAGATATCTGAGTCATTGAAAGAAGGAAACTTAAAACTGACGATAAACCCAATGACAGACGAGTTTCTATTTCAAGACAACAAGAACCATACTGTCTGTGTAAATCCAACAAAAGGAACTTTAAACGAGAAACCTATAGATGAACTTCTTTTGAAAGCAGATGTTGGCAACAAAGCTGACAAAGAGTATGTCATTGAAAAAGTTCAAGAAGAACATGACAGAGCAGATGCAACATATGCAACGAAAGCAGATGTTGACAACAAAGCTGACAAAGAGTATGTCATTGAAAAAGTTCAAGAAGAACATGACAGAGCAGATGCAACATATGCAACGAAAGCAGATGTTGACAACAAAGCTGACAAAACATATGTTGACAATAAAATGTCAAGTGAAGTGACAAGAGCTGAAAACGAATATTCTAAAAAGACTCATACACATACCATTGCAAATATTGCAAACTTACAAGAAACCTTAAACAGGAAAAGTGACGTTGGACATACACATACCATTGCAAATATTACAAACTTACAAGAAACCTTAAACAGGAAAAGTGACGTTGGACATACACATACATCTTCTGAAATAACAGACTTAAACGTTAGCCTTGAAAAGAAAGCAGATAAAACATATGTCAATGAAATATACCAAAGTTTAGTTGGAACAAAAAATATTGAAACTATTGTTGGTGACTTTTCTGTCAATGAAGAAAATAAATATTTTAGATGGCAGTTGGTACAGTCCTTAGAAAATGGTACACGGTATAAACTCATTCCGAAAAATAACAATGAAATGTATGTAAGCTATAAAAAGAACGATGGTACACAAGTTAAAGTTCCATTAGACAACAACTGTTACTTAAACATATATGGAGACGAACAAAAGAAATATTTAAGAGTTTATGAAATGGCAGATATGACATTGCCTGACCCAGCTCCAGCACCATACTATTATGACTATGGAGATGACGAAAGAACACCACATGTAGATGAACAAAAGCTAACATTATATTTAGATTTTTATAGATATAAAAGATATAATGCAATAGAAAAAACGAGAATAGTATACTATTATACAGATGACAGAAATAAATATTATAGTCAAGACTTTACCTACCCTGAAAACATAAGATTATATTATAAAAAATATTCTGACATGAACCAGAAGAAACCTGAAATAGTTGCACTATATTTTAAGTTCAAAAGAGACAATCCTATAATATCTCATATGTTTGATTTAATGAACCCAGTAGGTTCTATTTACACGTCAATGGAAGCAAGAGGTCCTCAAGCAATGTTTGGTGTTGGTGCATGGGAACAAATAGTCGACAGGTTTTTGTATTATGCAAACTCTTCAAAGGAAACAGGTGGAAGTAAAACGATTTCAGGTGAAAACTTACCTGCACATAGTCACTACATAGATTTAAGTACATCTCAAGCAGGTTGGCATAAGCATAGATATTGGGATTGGTCAGGAATGACAAAAGGTAAAGGATATGATGTTAAAGACGACGTGAAGTTTGCTATAAATTGTTACTGGGATGACACTCAGGGAGAAGGAAACCATACACATTTCGTTTCAGGATATACGCAAACAACGGGACAGAGTAAAGACTACATGCCACCTTACATGACAGTTTACGCATGGTA